TTTTTGTTGAAATTGACATTTCCTCTTTGAAATATGTTTTACTATACAGCATACATTATAAGGCTGAAACCAGTTGGTTTGAGTTTTCAACAACTTAGGGAGTCTCAATTCAACATTGTAAATAAACTATAAACTTTTGTTCTGCTGGCAGGTTCTACTGTTATCACAATACTTTTTCGTTAAGTTTCGCTGTGTTATAACATTTCTTTTCATTAGTTTACGCTTTTAATGTGCAGCCAGACTCCACAGGCCAATGTTGGTAAGTTACTCACTGTTGCATCATGGGATTTAAGTTATTTCCTAACTTAAATAACTTGGCCATTTTTCAGGCAAAACCCATAGATGTTGTCCTGGATTTTGTTTTTGAATTTAGTTAAGGGGGTCAAATTAACCTATTTACAAAGGGCTTTCAACTAAATATAAAACATAATATATACAACTTTAAATTAATGTTTGAATCCTAAGCAGTAAACCTGTGTAATAAAGTTTTAACAATAGTCATTAGACCTTGCTTGCTTTTATGTATAAAGCAAATTATGAGCAATAAAAAAATGTTATTATATAACACTACATGTATATATGCACTCTAGATGTATATTTTTGCATTTACACTGCGCACCATATTGCTTCATACACATGATTTGTCTGCAAATTACCTGACCGTTCAGTTGAACGTACTTCTACATTGCAATTACTAGTGACATATCACAATAACAACAAAATCAAACACCAATGACAAAAGTCATTCAACTAATTTTCGGACCGATTTGCAAATCAGGTGCACAAAACAATGTGGGACACACACATCCCTCAAGGTGACATCATAATATTATGACATCACTTTAGTTGTGCAGACCCCCTCCCCCTCCAAAAAAATCATTGACTCCTTCCAACTGCACTGCTCTTCGCAACATACCATCCCAATTCACCAATTTCTTTTTTATAATTAGAAGACCCAAGTAGGCCACTTGCAAGTCACACTGCTTTTTTTTCGAGGGGTTCTGTTTTTGTGTGTATCCGAGGGGTATAATTTTTTCACATACCCATCCGTATACGTCAAATCAGTAGTTTCCAGGGGGTGTGTTAGTTAACAAAAATCCGACACCTGAATGGTGGATTTGAATCCATAGGGTGTCATAACCTTAATATCCATCCGTGGGGGTGGTGGTGGGGGGGTGGTGTGTGGATAAAAACTGGAGTGACCCAACACGAATTAAAACATCTGGATATTGTCAGCTCCTGAGTATCACTCCCTATACACAGGAAAGTCGACAATAGAATGATGTTTGCTTAAAGTCGTATTTATCTTTATATTATAAGGGACTGTGCATGAACCAGACTGAGCAGTCAAAAGGACGTGCGGGCCACATCACGTTATCAGAGTGGGCGTTATTTACAGTCACCCACTTACTCGAACACCGCATGTATGTAAGGGGGGTCACATGATTACCGGCAATACATGACACCAGACCCTAAAAACTGTGTCTTACAATTCCCTGGCCATCCTGGGGAATGCCATGTTGAGTATGGAAAAACATGTGGAGCCATTCATTTATATTTGGATTGTGTGTGTGTGTCAACTATGGTACATTCAAACCACGAGCACCGCTCCTTATGAAAATCCTGTTTCACATAAATGAATTCTAGAAACTGTTTTTAAATTTCCTCTATTTGATTTGATTGAGTTTGAGAAATGGAATTGAAACTTACTGTGTTGTACTCCAAGATTGCACGTACCAGTGTCACAAACAGACAAATAATTACAGCCACCTTACTGATTAGATGAAAATTGCACTAGTCTAACCACATGATAAAGTAAAGGACATTTGGATTTGATATTCACTTTTACAATTAAGATCCATGCACCGTGACTATATTATAAACTTATCAATGGTTGGCTGAAAGTTTGAAGAATTGTTTGATGAATGTATGCTTTGGTGTCAACAGTGAAAATAACAAATTTACAGTGAATTTTATCCGACTTATCACTGACAGATAAATGGAATTTTTGCCATTTATATTTTTCATTTGACTCATCTGTTTGGTACAAAACAATAAACATCCACTCTATTTTGCTGTACTTGGATCCATGGCAGTATTTGACCATAAGTGGCAGGCATCAAGTTGGTTCATACAAAAATTAATATAATAACTTTATTACACAATTAAATCGGAGGATTTAGTAAGGTAAGGAGAATAACAAGACATAAATAAACAAATGTAAAAACAAACAATAAAACTTTAAAAAAATAAAGAAATATCAGAATAAGAACTTCACT